ATATATAATTGTATATATGTATATATATATATTTTAAGTATAACTGCAGATGTTATTGCAAGGATAGAAATTGTTTATGCGAAAAATAAATTTGCAAGAGAATAAAAATTGTAAAAGTGTAAAAAAATTTGATCGTCTGACACCAAAAATCTTTCACCATTTTTCTTAAATAAGATGTTCTATTTGTCGTTTATATTATTTTTTTTTTAAGCAGATAGAATTTCTTTTTTAATATTTTTTTTTATAATATGAAAAATATCTGTAGAGTAAATAATACACATAAAATACTATATAAAGTAGTCATAAAAAAGGTTTTTAAAAACTTGAAGATTTCATTACTCTTTACTAGAATTAATGTTAAATGCAGTAAAAGTAGTAAATAAAAAGTAGATATTGTTAACAAAAAATTAGGCAAGATTAAATAAGTTTTTTATTACTCAATTTTATTATATATTATCTGTTATTTACACGATATCTCTTAGCGAGCAAAATATGAGACGGAAAAGTTATAAATGTGTTGCGGTCTACCACTTCTCTCCGTCCGATGTTAACATGTGATAAGAACCATCCATTGTCTACGTTCTATTATAAATGCTTACGCATCAGGAATAAAGAATCAAAGTGTGGAAACGGAAACTTCATTGCAGAAAATTTAAAAACAGCCTATATATTTTTTATTTAAATTCTTTATGCATTTTATTCAGTAGAAAAATATAAAAATTTATTTTAAAATATATTTAATAAACTAATATAAAAAATATTTAATACACCATAACAAATACAATAAATATTTGTTATTTACAAATTTTACTATCGTCCTTAAATTAAACAGTTAATAACTTGATAACAAATATAATCTAATTCTTGACCCACGCATTATCGCGCAGAATTTTTTACTCTCACTCGTGAGCTCCCCAGCAAACGAAAATGGATTGAAATGAATTGAAATGGATTCAGATTTTCAAAAATATTGATTCACGAATGTTAAAATGAATGCTCAATCCTGAATGCATTTTTATTCATTTATAGGAATTGCATGGAGGATATCTCTATGCTTTTCAATCTAAAAATAATATTAGCCTTTTCTGTGCATTGTGAATACTGTTCAATTCAAAATTTTGAATAGGAAATGCAGTTTTTTTTTAATCCAATTGCATGCAAATGAATCTAATTGAATCCAATTAAATCCAAAAAAAGGATTCGTTATTTAAAATACGCATTCGGATAGAAAAAAGTTTCAATCCATTTTAATCCATTCTCGTTTGCGAAAAATAAATAATAAAGATTAATTTTTTTTTGTTATTTATCTCGAGATTTTACTAACAAGTAATTATCTAATAAATAATTATCTAATAAGAGCTCCAGCAAACGAAAATGGATTAAAATGGATTGAAATTTTTTTCTATCCGAATGCGTATTTTAAATAGCGAATACATTTTTTTGGATTTAATTGGATTCAATTGAATGCAATTGAATTGAAAAACTGCATTTCTTATTCAAAATTTTGAATTGAAGTACAATATTCACAATTGTTTTTGCACAGAAAAAGTTAATATTATTTTTAGATGGAAAGGCATAGAAATATGCTCCATACAATTCTTATAAATGAATAAAAATGTATTCAGGAGTGAAAATTATTTTAACATTCGTGAATCAATATTTCTGAAAATCTAAATTCATTTCAATTCATTTCAATCCCCATACAGAAAGATTGCAGAAACATTGCAGAATGATTTCACTGAAACATTGCAATATTGTATGATGGTTGTAAAATGTTGCTACGAATCATTGTTGAAATTCCAACAATATTAAGATGTCCGTTTTTTGTTATTATATTGCAACAAAACGTTCCAGCAATATCGCAATGTAATGTATTTAGATAAATTGTTTACGAAGCTCTAAAATGAAAACTATTTTTATACATATATCTCACTAACTTTAATTTTTCTACAAATCACTAGTTCTAGTGATATGTGCCTTCCAAAAACAATATGTTATGATAAAATATTCCAATAAATATAGTATTAATTCTAAAAAATAAATTTATTCGTAAGGATAAAACATGTGTGTGCCCCGAACAAACTACAAATATTATCCACATTAATAATACAATCGCTTGGTAAGTTAATCATGGGTTAAGTTAATCGCAGTGATTCTTTTTAATTCGAAATCACTCGGAGTCAATTGAAATCGATTAAAAAATAACGGTATGAAATTTATCAATAAAGTTCGAGCGCTGATTTATTCTTGCGTTTACATCAAGCATAAACATACATCATCAATTATATAATTAATATTTCGATAAATCGTTTTCAATAGATTAATTGCTTATCTGATAACAATGCATTGATTGAATCCATACTCGATATTATACAATCTTTTGATTTCATATTTAAAATAAATATAAAACTTAGCTAATGAAATGACCGTCAAATAATAGATTTTAGAATCAATAAATTTTTAGAATCAATAAATTTTTTATTTAAATATAAAATGAATTATGTTAATTATTATATCATAAAAACTATTAAACTAAAGTACTACATAAATATTGTAAAAATTTATATTTTTATATTATTATTATTGTAACAATTAAAGAATTAAAGTTTTGCAATGTTTGTGAAATATTACAAACATATTACTGACATTTTGCAGACATTAATTTACATTTCTGTAATACCTCTGCAATGTTACATTGCAATCTGTAATACTGCAACATTGCAACAATATTGTTTCAATCTTCTGTATTGTATGAGAACATTTTTTCACAATTGTGTGTTTTGCACAGAAAAAGCTAATATTATTTTTAGATTAAAAGGAACAGAGATGCTCCATGCAATTCCTATAAATGAATAAAAATGCATTCAGGATTGAAAAGTATTCATTTTAACGTGAATCAATATTTCTGAAAATCTGAATCCATTTCAATTCATTTCAATCCATTTTCGTTTGCTGGATTGTTGCAAATACTTTGCTCCGCGTGAAGTACAGTATATACATACATTGCCGGCCACGCTGAGTTGAGGACAGCGATTCGAACGACATCGTGCGTGCGCGCGTGCAGTCCGGTCACGGTGTGCTATCCGCACGTTGGTGTACGCAGTGCGGACGGTTAATCTCGTGGACGTGTCCGGCGCAGTCCGCCCTGTCCGCCGTAACGAATTGGTTGGTGTTTGGTTTTGGGGAGTACACTCAAAGTATGCTACGCATACGGCACGGTGCGTAACGTGTGTGTCGCACTGTGCGTTACGCGGAACATCATACGCGTCATACGTATACAGCACGGTATCGGCATACGGAGTATTACGGAGTAGTACTGGCCCTGAATACTGGCTCATTTGACGATTCTCTCATTCGCGTTCGCGATAGTCACACATTGGCGAAGTGTTATAATATCTCCTCTCCCTCTCTCTTTCTCCCCGGTCTGGCATGAAATGTCAAGCGTCCTGCGTTACCATGGGCTGAATCTCGACGTGCCGTAGCTGTCAGATATCGCGCGAAGAGGCGAGAGAAATACGTACCCGGGGGAAGTATTCGGGAGTTAGAGCGACAAGCTCAAGAGACGGGAAGGCCGGAGTGAAAGTGGAAGTAAAATCGCACATTCGAGTCTCTTTTCCTCCTTTTCCGTCATAAACGTATTTTCCTAGTGGACGGGGACGAAACAAAGGGTTTCCATCAACGCGCCGACCCGTGCCGATGTTCGATCGCCAGCGATGGAGCCCGAGGAGCCTCTTATGCAGGGGATACTGCTGCTACCGCCGCAAGGAATGCTAGGCCAGCTCAAGGTTAGTATTCACGACAGAGATAAATTCCGTGGGATGCACCACGTTGACGCGATACTCGATATCGCGATATCGCGCTCGACGCATCATCCGTAAACGGCTGTTCCTCTCTTCCCTTTTTTTTTCGCACTCCTCTTTCGCTGCTTGACCTGCAACAGGTACACAACGTATGCCACATGCCAACACACCCTTTAAACGGTTTAAAATATTAATATAATAAAAATATAAATATAAAATACAGGAACGAATTGCATTTTACATTCTGTCGCTCTTACATTATTTAACTCGGTACTTATTCAGTTTAGCCCTCCTCAACTTCTTCAATATTTAATTTATATTGATAGAAATGAGTACAAAACTTTTAGAATGAATCTTACTCTGAAAAGTGAAATTTCTTTTAAAGACTGAAGATTGAGCTATCTTTTTCAAGACTGGCTCAATTTTCATTTTTTAGAGTGAAGATTCCATTTTAAAGAATTTAGAAAGCCGATAATATTTATTTTATATATATTGTTTATTCTATATATATTTATATAACAGGAAAATTTCAAGTAAACATAAGTGTCCATTTGTTTCAGAAAACCTGGCACAAGAGATTCTGTCAGCTTTTCAGAACAAGTAATTACGGGATCAAACGCGTCGAGATCTATGACAATCAGGAAGAAGCGATAATGCAGTCCCATTCTCCACGCATCATCACGTTGGATGCCTGCATAAAAATTGCACCCAGCAATCAGTCGCATGTCTTTACCGTACGTATTTATTCTACTCTTGAATTCGTTTCTATGTCGCTTCTTTATCTAAAAAATTTTTCACTGTTAACTGTCTCTAAAAAGACAGTTTTTCATATGTCCATCTCATACACACAGGTAGTGACTAAATCAGGAATACACTATTTTGGCTGTTATTCGGAAATTGAGATGACTCACTGGATCACAGCGTTCCAATTAGTCGCATTCAAGGACAGTGTATCGAATCAAATCGAAGAAAATAACGATCTGTATTGTACTAGTGGAGAAGGTGTATTTTCCGTGAAAGTTGTAGAAACAGATGCGTCTAAGCGGTGTGGATTGGAAGCAAGAAATTATACTTTGATTGTTGCCGCCGTGGACATGAAACTAATGGACGGTGATATTGTTTTATTCACATGGCCATACAGGTATATCAGGAGATACGGATATAGAGATGGAAAGTTCATCTTCGAGGCCGGAAGAAAATGCGAGTCCGGCGAGGGATCCTTTCGCCTGGAGCATGGTAGCCAACAGGAAATCTTCCGATGTATGTATGCCAAAATGAAGTCCATGAAGAAACTGTTGGACGAAGAAAGTAATCCAAATATAGAATGCAACGACACCCAATTTCAGGCAGCCTTATCTATGGAGCCTGGCTCTAGAGCGGCTTTACCACCCTCTTCAAACAATTCTAGCAATTTGATCGATATAGATTTTTCTACGCAAAGTTCTCAGAAGCCTTTGACTTCATCATCGAGTATGGATTCTACAATCTCGTCGAGTAGGTCGATAAATAAGTCCAAGCCCGCCAAACCACCACGAAAATACGTCTTCCCTAATCTGCTCGAGAAAAAATGTCTCGACTCGACAGAATTCCTAGATTTGCCTACATGCGGAGAATATAGAACTATAAGCCAAGGTAATTCCCCGGAATTATCTCATAAGAGTATCAGCAGTGTTATGCGCGAGAACGAAGAGAAACACTCGTATGATTTAGTGGAAATTAGGAATGACGCTTGGAAGACGCACGGTATCGATAGCGTACATCATACAGAAAGAGTAAACTCGAGTCTACCTAGTGAGAGAGACAAGGAGAACGATAACGACGATTTGCAATATGAAATTATGATGCCGATACGGAATCACGATGCATTCCAAAATTCGTGCAAAAGTAAATGCGGCGATAACGCAATTGTCACGCCATCGGCGATACAAAGTATTGCCAAGACAGACGAGTCGGATTACGATAAATTAGAACACTTTGGATCCGCGACGAAACTTAATCAGAAGTCTACGTACAAGTATACGAATTCCTCGCAAAGCATACATTCCAACGTCTCCCACGGGGAAAGTTCTAATCTTGTAAATCCAACGTGGTCTAATTACGAGCTCGTCGAAGATATGTCCGCTATCAGGCTAGCCGACGACAGCCATCTCGGTTATGGAATTATCCGGAAAAAGCCGGATCTTTCTGATACAACTTCCACAAGTAATACCGCGGGTGGTCCACAGCATAAAGTTTTCAACAACAGCGAATATGCAATTGTATCGAAACCAAAAAGGGTATAAAATACCCATACATTCGAGTATCCTTTCAAAATACGACGACCATGCCACAAAAATTCGCTTCTACAAAATTCTTATCTTTTTGTAATTATTTGTAAGGATATGAAGAATATGCTAGTCTACACCGCGTATGGTGAGAATAAAAGTATTTCTTTTGCTTTATAGAATGATTGACACGCGTTGCAAAATGATAAAAATAATTTCATTATTTTCGTATTGTCACATTTGTCCTATATTTTTATTCTTTTTTATTATATTTTTAGAGACTAGTCTTAATTGCTATTATAGATACGATGTCTAGGAAAGTATAAACGTTCAAAAATTCCATAAACATTTATGCCTTCGTATGAAATATATTCTAGTATTGATTAGGAAAGCTCAAAGTGATTAATATTTTATCTAACTGCATTCGACTGATTTAAAATACTACATTCAAAATACTTGTATAGTGTTTTATAGAAACAAAAATGTTTTAATTGATGCCAAAATGACACTAAATCGTTGTAAACATGCAAGTGTGTTAAAATCTTTTGATATTGAATATATGTATCAGTGTACTTAGAAATTTATTATTATATACATTACAATCATAATTTTTTATTGCTACTATTATGT